TAGCAGTGGATCAGTGCCCAAATGGCTCCATGCCCAAGCAGAGGCTTTGCCGTTGGGAGGCCATGAGTTCAACTTTCAGTGTTGAAAGGAGAGTTTCGTGTGATTTGAGGACTAGGAAGAACCTTCTGGACGTTCTGCTCTCTGCCCTGGGCAGCACAAAGCTCCTGCAGAGGAGGAGTCCCTGCTGCCAGCAGAGGTCATGGTCATGGTCAATGGCTCAGAGTCCCGCTGGACATCAGTGACCAGTGGTGTCCTCAGGGTCAGTTTTGGGGCCTGTGGTATTTAAATATCTTCATCAATGACACACAAAGGGATCAAGGGCACCCTCAGCAGGTGACACCAAGCTGAGGGTGCAGTGACGCCCCTGGAAGACAGGGCCATCCAGAGGAGTGGCCCTTGGGAATCTCAGGAAGTTTAGCAAGGCCATGTTCAAGCTGGGGCAGCCCCCATGATCCATCCAGGCTGGGATGAGCAGCTGGAGCAGGAAGAGGGCCCTGGGGTTGCTGTGGGTGAACTGGCCATGGCCGAGCCATGAACCCCCTGCCCTAGGCTGATCCCAGAGTGGGCAGCAGGGCAGGGATTGGGATTCTGCCCCTGTGCCCAGGTGAGACCCCACCTGCAGAGCTGCCCCAGCCCTGGGCCAGCACAGGCAGGAGCTGGAGCTGCTGGAGGAGCCCAGAGGAGGCTCCAGGATGAGCAGAAGGATGGAGCAGCTCTGCTGGGAGGAAAGGCTGGAACAGCTGGGAATGTTCACCTGGAGAGGAGAAGCTTTGGGGTGACTGAATTGTGGCCTTGCAGGGCCTGAGGGAGCCTGCAGGAAACATGGAGAGAGACTTTGGACAGGGGATGGAGGGACAGGACAAGAGGGAATGGGATCAAAGTGACAGAGAATGGGTTTAGGTTGGATATTGGGAAGGAATTGTTCCCTGGCAGGGGGGGCAGGCCCTGGCACAGGGTGCCCAGAGCAGCTGTGGCTGCCCCTGGATCCCTGGCAGTGCCCAAGGCCAGCTTGGACACTGGGGCTTGGAGCAGCCTGGGACAGTGGAAAGGTACTGGATGGGTTTTAAGGTCCCTCCAACCCAAACCATTCTGGGATTCCATGATTCCATCTGCTCTGAAGCAGACTGAACCATTTTCCAACATGGATCTTGCCCCTGGGTGGGAATTGCTCCCCACAGGGGCTCAGGTTTCCATCCTGTGCCATCCTGCAAGAGCCCTGTGGCTCCAGAGCCCAGCAGGGGCTGGATGTGCCCCTGCGCAGGTGACACTCACCTGGGTGCCCTCACCTGCTGTGCCCCAGCTCCCTTTGGTCACAGGTGTCCCCACAGAGACCCTTCCCTCCCCCCAGGAAAGCACCAACCCGGTGCTCAGGAGAACATGGGTGGAAGGAATGGGTTCAAGGAGTGCCCCCAGCTCCAGGTGACATCAGGAACATTTAGGGACAGCCAGCCTGGGCTCGGGAATGCAAGTGGTGTTTTACTGGCCACATCACATCTCCTTCCAGCTTGTGGGGTGTAACTGTTATCCTGGTGAGTGGCAGCAGCAGGGATGGATGGAATGGGAGTTAATCTGTGCCCACCATCTCTCTTGATCTCTCCTTCATTTCCATTTCTTTTAAAAATGGAAGCTTTATTAAAACAGCAGCACTTTTCTATTAAATGAGTAACGAGAGAAATGACTGCCTCTGTATCTCAGCAGCACAGAATCTTTTGAAAATCACTCAAGAGGCAAGGCTCAAACCAGATATTTAATAAGAATCACTTGGAGATCACTTCTTAAAGCAATTAACAGATGATTAGAGATAAGCGAGATGCAACAACGAGACCCAGATCTCAGACAGATTTCTCCCGGGGTCACCCTGCAGTCACAAACCGTGTCAGGGCAGAACAGCAGAGGAAATTCCCACTTTTCAGCCTGATTTTGCTCCTGTTTCCAGTGGTTTGGAAGCTGGAGCAGGGAGAAGGGGCCAACACCTCCCCGGGGCTCTGGCCCAGCTGAGGGTCCTGGAGCCCAGGGTTCATCTCCACCTTCCCTTCCTGGTGCTGGCTCAGGGGCTGCTTTTCCTTCTGGAGCACGAAGGAAAGGCAGGCCTGAGCCTGAACATTCCAAAGCATCCCAGGGCTCAGCAGCAGCAGGATCCTCGTGCTGTCCCCGCGTGTCTGTGCCACCTGGCACGGGGACCGCAGTGGCACCAGGGACACGCGGCCATCGCAGAGGGACCAGGGACAGGCAGGGACTGGGACAGAGCCAGGCCCTCCTGGCCAGGGGCTCAGCACAGCCAGGATGGAGCCCAGGAGCAGCCACACCTCATCCAGCCCTGCTGTGGGAGCAGATGGCGCTGGGGACCTCACCCCACCCCTGTGACATGTGACAAAAGCCATCTGCTGCCACCCTGGGCACTGGCAGGGCTCAAGCTGGGCTGAATTACAGCACAGGCAACATCCAGGGGCTGTCTGGCTGCTTATCCTGACCCACACAGTCTCTCCCTCCAATATTTGCTCAGTTTAAGGGCATTTTACCAGCTGGACCGGAGCTGTGGGGTCTCAAAGCCCTCAGGGTGTCCTGGAGTCACCAGGAAATTGCTTCTCTTAGAAGGCAGCAACAAAGGCAGGGGGAGCTGGCTCATGCATCCACAGAGTTGTGGTCATTTCGGGTTTGGAAGTGCTCAAATTTATTACACAAGGGGTGATGCAACAGCGAAAAAGAGAGCAAAATTCTACATTGACTCTCTACTCTGCAGGTCAGGACAACTAAGAGGTTTTACTTCATTAAGGAAGGCAGGGGAAAAATCAGAGACAGCCCCAGTGGTTGAGGGAGCCTTGTAAAGCCTAAATGAACAATCAGTCCTAGGTGATGCTAGTTGCTGTAGAAGGAACAATGAAATAGATCTGCTTCTGTTCAATAAATTACTAAAACATCAGTTATAAACCTGCTGCATGGCATTGGAAATTCAGCTCGTTAAACATCCAGGGAGCTTCATCCTGATGCAAATGGAAGACAGGCATGAGTGCTCTGCAGCAAAGGACTCTGTGCACATCCCAGCTTGGGAAACATATTTACACATCCATCTCATATATTAATCTATTTTAGTGCACCCTAGCCAGAGGGCAGCCACAAAGAGGATTATTCTGGGAGAAGGACAGGAGATGGGCTGGTTTCTCCTCCCTGCTGAGCAAAGCCTGTGTCCACCCACGTCCAGCAATTCTGCAGGATCCTCTTTCCCTTCTTCTGGCAGCCACACGTCAGGGCCCCAAGCAGAGGACTCCCAGGTGGATTTGGCAGCCAAGATTTGGTAGCCAGGATTACTGTGAGCCAAAAATAAATCAGGTGAGATCCCTCCACCAGAGCAACAAGCCTGAAGTGGCTTCAGGGCCAAGAATTTCAGCCAAGCTGCCATTTGTTGGTGCCTTGGCCTCACTCCCTGTCCCTTCCATGGCCCAGGAAGGGCTGCAGTGACTCTGGGGGACCTTGGCCAGGCCTGAGCAGGCAGGACAGGGGTGCTCAAGCCTCTGAGAACATTCCTGCTGTCACCCAGAAGGGCAGGCAGACATCCCAGGTAATGCCTAAGGGAACCCCTTTTGGGTCTCTGTGGAGGGAGGTGCTGGCTTGGCCAGCAGCATGTGGGTGATGGAGAGGGGGCAAGGGGAGGTCAGGGGGTTTATTCCACTGCATTGTTTTGGGTAACTTCAGTGATCAGGGGTTGGAAAGATCCCTGGGAGCTGCTGGGGCATGTTTTGCTTCTCCAAAACTCAGGGAAGGGGCTGCTGGATGCAGGGGCAAGAAAGGGAAAAGGGAACAAGGACTCAGCAAAACACCACATCCTTCAAACTTGACTCCTTTGGGGCTTGGGAACCCTTTCCTCTCCCAAGCTCCTCAGTTTCCACACTTGCCAGGCAGGTCTGTCCAGGGTCATGGTGCAAACCTCCCCAGCCCTTTGGGAGAGCTTGGAGTTGTGTGGGAAAGCAGAAGTTCCCTGTCAGTAAATGCTCCCAGACTGCTCCAGCAGGGAATGTGGCACCTCTTGGAGAGCTGGCCAGAGGGAGCAGCAGTTTCTGCTCTGTATTACTGCATTTTTTATTTTACTTTTTACATTTTCTTCCCTAATGAAGAACTGTTATTCCTACTCCCATATCTTTGCCTGAGAGCCCCTTAATTTCAAAATTATAATAATTGGGAGGGAGGGGGTTTACATTTTCTCTTTCAAGGGAGGCCCCCCTTCCTCAGCAGACACCTGTCTGTTCAAACCAATACACTTATTTACACTCTGCTTTGAGACAAAAGAGTGTGAAGGAATTTTACTCTTCATCCACAAGAAACAAAGGAATCTGGAAGTCATTGGCAGATCAGACATAACCAGATCCACCTTTCTGCTACCAGAAGGGAAAACTGATTAGAAATTGTCCTGAAATGCTGCCCTGATCCCTCTTAACCCCCTCCCTCTGCCTCAGGAGCAGGAATTCGCTGTGCCGTGGCACCGTTTCCCCTTTGTCCCACCCCATCCCAGGGGCTGTGTCCCAGCCAGGGCTTGGGACACAGCAGAGCTGTGGCTGTTTCTCTTCACAGAGAAAAGCAAGGCACAACTTCCCAAGGACATTTCTGGGAATTGCAGTGAGGAGCCTCAGAGAAAGAAAAAACAATTCTTATCTCAATTGCAGCTCCTCTGGTTGTTCACAAGTGGAATGCATCGTGGAAGATTGTTCACCTGAAGGGAATTGATAATTGGATTCTGGCGTGAGTGTTCTCATTCACTGACCAATTGAATCCACGTGTGTGTGTCGGGACTGTCGGCTGCCAGGCACGAGATTCTGGGCAGTTGAGCTGAGCTGAGTGCGTGTGCACATTCAGTTTAGATGTAATGTAATACAGTATAGAATAACATAGTATAATGAAGTAATTAATTAGCTTCCTGATATCAATGGAGTCAGATGCGTCATTTTCTCCCCTCGTCGGGGGTCACCTTTTACTACACAGAGGAGCCCCGAGGGCAGCCCCAGACACACCTGGATGAAGTTCCAGCGCTTGTGGAGGCTGCTCTTGACCTTGTCACAGTCCAGCAGCTGCGGGAAGCGGCTCTTGCCCGTGTCCACCAGGCAGCGCGTGTCGGGCAGCAGCGTGGTGGTGCCCAGGGCCCCCAGGTGCAGGAAGCCCTCCTTGGTGTATCGAGCCAGCTGGGGACATACAGAAATTCCCTGTCAGTAAATGCTCCCAGACTGCTCCAGCAGGGAATGTGGCACCTCTTGGAGAGCTGGCCAGAGGGAGCAGCAGTTCTGAGGCAGCCCCCCAGAGCTGGGATCAGCTGGGGGAGACTCACACGTGGTGAAAGTAAAGCCACAAATGCCCATCTCCCCCAGGTCTCTCCCAGAAACACGAAGAAAGCTCTGGTTGATATTCCATCCTTTCCAAAGGAGCCCAGTCCCTCAGCACCTCAGAACATCAGCACAGAGGGACAGGACAACAGAGAGCCCCTGGGAACATTCTGTGGGGATGCACAGGGAAAGGAAAGCAGAGCTGGAAGGAATAAATCCCAACTTTCTGCACCCTTTTATCCCTGCTTGGGTTTTTATTTTTTCCAGATGCAGGTGAGGAATTGAGACGCAGGAAGGCGTAGGAATAATTCCAAGCCTTAAAGTCCTCCTGGAGCAGACTCCTGCAGCCTCCTGGAATGCTGTGGGATGGGGCAATGGATGGTTTTCCCTGGACTCCAGCTGGAGCCAGCTGGCCTGGCTGGCCCTGCTGGGTGAGCCAGCCTTGGCTGGGCTGGTGCTTCTGGGTGCCTGGCACAGCCTCCAGGGCTCCAAGCAGGCAGCAGCACCAGCCAGAGGGGCCAGAACTGGGATGGGGGCCTGGATCTGCCCTCGGGAAAGGCCCAGGATTGCAGCCACCCCTGCCATTCCCATGGGATCCAACTGCTCAGGGCTGCCAGGGGAGGCAGGATGGGAGCAGTGGGCAGGGCTGATGCCCCTGGGGACAGTGGGCACACAAAGGACTCCTCAATTTCAAGGAATGCCACCACAATATTTCCCTAAACACATTTGAATTCTGGAGTGAGAAGAAAGGAATGCCAGTGTCCTGCCTTTTATAGTTCAAGGGAAAGATCTCCACAGCTCCTTATTTAAATTATGAATCAGGCCATTATCCAGCAGACAGATAAGGAGGATTCAGCACATTAATTAACTGAGTGTATCTGTGACCCAGATGCCAGAGAAGAGGCAGTAAATCCCACTGAGAGTTTGGGTTATCTGGGCTGTAATAATTAAACACTGGAAATCAAGTTAAAACAATGTAACAGGGTCAGACTGCAGCTCATGACCCCAGATCCAGTCAGGGTGCCCAGCTCTCTTGGGGTGGGCCTGGCTCTGCTCCCAGGTGCTGCTGGAGTTACAGCCAGAGTGAAAATGTTGTGTATCAGAGCAGGCCCTGAGCTCCTCACATCTCCCTGATGTTCCTTTGCCAGGTGTTCCCCACAGGAGAGGTCAGGAGCAGCCCAAACGCTGATCACAGAATCATGGAATGGTTTGGGTTGGAAGGGACAGCAAAGCCCACCCAGTGCCACCCCTGCCATGGCAGGGACACCTTCCACCGTCCCAGGCTGCTCCAAGCCCTGTCCAGCCTGGCCTTGGGCACTGCCAGGGATCCAGGGGCAGCCACAGCTGCTCTGGGGGCAAAGCTGCACCATCTCACCCTCCCTGGGCAGGATGTGCCCTTCTGTCCCCAAAGCTCTTTGCAAGGCAGAATCACAAAATCACAGAATCACAGAATGTCCTGAGTGGGAAGGGATCCCCAAGGATCATCCAGTCCAGGCCCTGTCCCTGCACAGACACCCCAACAATCCCAGCCTGGGCATCCCTGGAGCTCCTGGAGCTCTGGCAGCCTCGGGGCCGTGCCCATTCCCTGGGGAGCCTGGGCAGTGCCCAGCACCCTCTGGGGGAAGAACCTTTCCCTGAGCTCCAGCCTGAGCCTGTCCCAGCACATCTCCAGCTGTCCCTGTCCCTGTCCCACAGAGCAGAGATCAGTGTCTGCCCCTCCTCTGCCCCTCATGAGGACGATGGAACCGTGATGAGTCTCCCCTCAGTCTCCTCCAGCTGAACATTCCAGTGCCCTCAGCTGCTCCACACACGGCTTCCCTTCCAGACCCTTCCCCATCCTCGTGGCCTGCCCTGGATGTGCTGATGGGCCCAGCCTTGAGCCACACAGTGCTCTCAGCCTGCCAGAGGGGTTTCAACCATGCAACTCAGCTGAACTGGCATCTGAGCATCAAATCCAGAGCATCCAGGTGCCCCCAGCAGAGGAAGGACATAGAAGTGTTGGAGCAAGGCCAGAGGGGCACCTTGAAGTTCAGGGATTGGAGCACCTCCTATACGGAGCCAGGCTGGAAAGCTGGGACTGTCCCTCTGGAGAAGAGCAGGTTGTGTAGAGACCTCAGAGCCCCTTCCAGGATCTGGGGGGTTCCAGGGAAGCCAGAGAGGGACCCTGCATCAGGAACTGGAGGGACAGGATCCAGGGGAATGGGGTCAAACTGATGGAAAGCAGGGTTACATGGGATATTGGGAATTGTTCCCTGGAAGGGTGGGCAGGCCCTGGCACAGGGTGCCCAGAGCAGCTGTGGCTGCCCCTGGATCCCTGGCAGTGCCCAAGGCCAGGCTGGACATTGGGGCTTGGAGCAGCCTGGGACAGTGGGAGGTGTCCCTGCCATGGCAGGGGAGGCACTGGGTGGAATTTAAGGTCCCTCCAATCCAGACCATTCCATGGTTCTCTGATGGCACTTCTTGTCTTGCAGGAAGAAAAAACTGCATAAAGGCAAAGACAAAGCAGAGACAGACAAACCCTGGCTGTCACAGAGGCAGAAATGACCCAGATGTCCCTAATGGGCAGAGCCAGTCCTTGGGAAGGCTCTGGCATGCCATGCCCCTTGGGAAGGAGCATGCCAGGCTCTCCCCTTTCAGATGGCCTTTGGCAGCCTGTCCCCAGAGAGCTGGCCCATGCCCACGGGGCACCAGGACCTCTGCTCTGCCATGGCACTGCCCAGTGTGCTGGGAACAGCAAGTGGAGCAGAAATGCCATCCTGCGCCGGGAAGGGAGCGGGCAGGGCTGGAACACAGCAGGGACTGAGGCAGGAAATGCACCTGGCACAGGTGAGATCTGTGCTGGGAGCAGGGGGAAAGCAGCCCAGGCCTGAGCCACTCACCAACACAGCACAGCCTCAGCAACAGCCACTGCAACCCCCAAGGCAAACCTGGGGGGATTATCCCCCAAAAATCCCATCTAACTCCTGAGCGCAAGTCCTGCCATGCTCCTACAACATTAATGGTATTTTCTTCTTTTGGGATGGCTGTAGAGAATCACTGAATGGTTTGGGAGGAAAAGGGGCTTTAAGGATCCTCTCTTTCCACCTCCTCCCACTATCCCAGGCTGCTCCAGCCCCAGTGTCCAGCCTGGCCTTGGGCACTGCCAGGGATCCAGGGGCAGCCACAGCTGCTCTGGGCACCCTGTGCCAGGGCCTGCCCACCCTGCCAGGGAACAATTCCTAATTCCCAATATCCCATCCAGCCCTGCCCTCTGGCAGTGGAAGCCATTCCCTGTGTCCTGTCCCTCCATGCCTTGTCCCCAGCCCCTCTCCAGCTCTCCTGGAGCCCCTTCAGGCCCTGCAAGGGGCTCTGAGCTCTCCCCAGAGTCTTCTCTCCAGATGAGGCCCCCTGAGCTCTTCTCCCAGCCTCTCCTCACAGGCCAGGTTAATTCCAAGCCCTAATTCCTCCTTTGTTATTCTGCTCCTCTCCAGAGCGAGCCAGAGGCCCCAACCCAGCCTGGGACATGACAAGAAACAAGGGAAAAACCAAGATAAAGGACCACAGGAAAATAGTTTAAAACTATTCCCAAGCCAGGCATTTCAAAGTGGCTCAAACTGATGAGGTCTTTAACCCCTTCACCAGTTTGAGTGGCCCAAAGCCACATCCCCAGCAGTGACTGACAGCCCCAGCCCCTGGAACAGCCTTCCATAAAACCTCATCCAGGAAACTGCAGCTGGCCACATTCCCACCTTCAGCTGTCCCTGGAGGCAATCCCCGGATCACTGGGGCTGGAAAATCCCTCCAAGGCCATCGAGTGCCAGCTGTGCCTGATGCCCACCTTGTCCCCAGCCCAGAGCACTGAGTGCCACCTCCAGCCCTTCCCTGGACACCTCCAGGGATGGGCACTCTAATTCCAATGCCTGGCCACCCTTTCCAGGAAGGAATTTCCCCAAAATCCACCCTGCCCCTCCCCTGGCCCAGCCTGAGGCCGTTCCCTCTCCTCCTGTCCCTGTTCCCTGGAGCACAGCCCGACCCCCCGGCTGTCCCCTCCTGTCAGGAGTTGTGCAGAGCCACAAGGGCCCCCTGAGCCTCCTTTTCTCCAGGCTGAGCCCCTTCCCAGCTCCCTCAGCTGCACCAGGGCTGGGGCTGATCCCCCCAGGTAAAGCTGCAGCTCCAATCCATCTCCTGTGGTTGTGTTTCTGCTGGCTGCATCTCAGAGATGGCAGAAAGTTAATTAGACATCCCAGCACCTGGGAAATAAAAGCCTTGATGACCTTCATTGACTCTATTGGAAAATAATTTTGGGTTGTTTAGCTTCCCTTCTGCTCTGAGCAGAACATCAATTAGCAGCCATCAGTAAAATGTTCAGGATTTGCCTTTTACCACAATTTAATCTGATTAAAGGGTGCTGTTTCGTCACCCCTGCTCCTGCCGTGTCCCCCATGAGCTCAGTATTGATGGCTTTGTCCTCAACTTCTGCTGCTTAAATGGGCAAAACATATTTTATCCTATAATTAAATGAAATGCTCTGCTGGGTGAACATTATCTTAAGTTTTATAGCATTATAGTGCTTTCTATCACCTTAATATATCACCATAGCTGTGTCACTGCAATGAGCTATGGCTGCATTATTAGTGTAATACATCATTACAGCAAGGTGCTTCCATGAGGGATTGCCTCAAAGATGAAGCCATCAAGCAGGAAAAAAATCCATCAGCAGCCTTAATATAATTACAGGATAAAAGGATGATGATGGAATCTCATAATGATTTGACCTGGAAGTGAATGGAAGCAGAGAGAACAGAAAGCTGAAGGGAAAATAAGAGAAAAATCCTCAAAATTTTACTCAGTGAGGGATGAATGAGTAAAGGCAAGATCTCACCTGCATTCAGAGCCACCACCCTGAACTGCATCCAGGCTGAGCTTAAATCCATGGGCAGCCACAGGAGAGAGCAGAAATTGGGGGTGGGACACAAAGTGTCCAAAATGGCCCAAATCCCTCCTGGCAGACCCAGCATTCCCTCTCTCCCAGCTGGGCTGGGGATCCACAGCCAGAGGGGTGGGCTGGGACTGGATTTAGGAACAGGGAGGGCTTCCAAGAAGATCCCAGCACCCTGGTGTGGCAGGAGCAGGAGGCACAGCTCCCCTGTCCTTGGGACGTGCCAGTGCCAGCAGGGACCCCACACCTGCCCCTCTCTCACTGCTGCCAAGGCTGGCAGTGAAACCATTTCTAGATTCTGACATGAGGAATGTCTGGGATGTCACAATGTCTGGGATGGGCCCCAGGATCAAGGAGAGAAGGGGGGATTTTAGGACACCACGTGTGGTTTGGGACGTGAGCAACTCCAAAGGAGCTCAACAGCTCCTTGTGGGGTTTCATACACATACAAATAAATAAAAATTAAACATATATATATATATATATATATATATATGTATATACAAAAACCAGCGTTTCCATTACTTGTAATTCCATTCCCAGTCATAAATTACAACCTGCAGCCCATTAATTAAACAGTTATAGGGAATGTCCAATTTCCTTCATGGTGCCACAAAGGCCATTTCAAAGTTTCTGCACTTGCTGATAGCTGCTTAAAACCAGCGTTTTCCAGGAGTTTCATTAATTGGTTGTATCAGAAACAAAGGAACTGCCAAGAACTGGCTCTCAGCTGAACAGGGGAGGGGCACTGGGGAGAGGGAAGACCAGGAAGGATGAAATGGGCAAGCTCCAGGCAGCCAGCAAAATTTGACTTCAGAACTTCAAGTAGGGGGAGAAAACATTGTTAAACTTAATCCCAATAACACTGAGGGAAAAATAAATACCCTGTTCTCAGCCATTCACCCTAAAGCCCAGGGTCAGCAGCCAGTGGCAGCCCAATCCAGTTTCTCACACAATAATGCACTTAGAGGCTCAGATCTGCAGCCACAAAGTGCAAAAGGCAGTTGGTGCCATTTAAGAGGAAAATGGGGTTTTTGAGCAAGAGCAGGTTCTGTTTAGCAGGGACTCCACCAGCCCCAGGGGCTGATCTTTGTTGAAGGCCAGGGTAACCCAAAGTGGGATTTCCTCCACCCCACAGCTGCTTCCCAGCTCCTCCAGCTCCGGCTCAGGTGAGCTCTGGGATCCCTGAGTCCAGGGTGACTGTGGAGTGAGAACAGGATTTTTATGTTTTCCATTCCTTGAACTGTTCATTTTTTTAGCTGAAAATGAATCTCCTCAAGCCTGCTGGGCCCCAGATGCTCCAAAACTTTTGGAGAGGCAAAAGGAGTGCTGGAAAACAAATTCCAGCCAAGCTGAAATGGCTCATTACCAGAGCACTAATTGTTTTCTTTACCCCATTAGTCTGGGTTTATTCTGCTGGTGGAAGAGAAGTAATCCCACAATGGACTGGGTTGGAAGCGACCTTAAAGATCATCTTATTCCAACCTTCCATCCAACTCTCATCCAGCCTGACCTTGGGAAGGAAACTCTCAGATTGTGTCCATGATTATTGCTATTTGCCTTTGTCTGGAAGATTTTATTTTAAACTACAAATTTCAAATTTTTTTGGTTTCAAATTGCAAAAATCTCAGCTTTCCAATATTTTCAATTTACAAAGGTTTCCTCTTTCAAGGCTTTTCCTTGCAGGAAAATGGGAAGGATGATGGGAATCCAGAAAACACTGCAGGAGCAGCTGGGAAAACCCCTGTGGTACCCGAGGTGTTTTTAACACTGGAGAGGAAAGGCCACAGCCCCAGCCTGTCCCCTGTGGTGCCACCTGGCCGTGGCAGTGCCAGCCTCACCTGTGGGCCCCAGCCATGGCACGGGTACAGGATTGCTGTGTGGTTCTCCTGCGGGCCCTGGTCCAGGCACACGTCCTTGGCCTTGTTGTTCCGCAGCTGGGAGGGGAAAAAGGGGCACAGTTAAGGGACAAAAGGGGCAGAGATAAGGCACAAAAATGGCATAATTATGGTGGGAAAAGAGCAGAGTTATGGCACAAAAATTAGCAGAATTATGGCAGAAAAAGGGCAGAGTTAAGGGAAAAAAATGGCAGAATTATGGCAGAAATAGGGCAGAGTTACAGCAGAAAAAGGGCAGAGATAAGGGACAAAAAATGGCAGAATTATGGCACAAAAAGAGGAGAAGTTATGACACAAAAGGGGCAGAGTTATGGCAGTAAAAGGGTAGAGATAAGGCACAAAAATTGGCAGAATTATGGCAGAAAAAGGGCAGAGTTATGGCAGAAAAAGGGGCAGAGTTAAGGCACAAAAAAGGGCAGAATTATGGCAAAAAAAAGGGCAACGATAAGGCGCACAAAAATGGCAGAGTTATGGCATAAAAGGGGCAGAGTTAAGGCCCTCTCTTATCAGAGAGAAGCAGGAAATAGATGTTTAGCCCTCTGTACCCTCTCTAGCTCTCACTGCTGTATCACCAGGAATAATCAGGCAAGGAAAATTCACAGAGCACTGAATATTTTTTTAAATCCAAGGCTAATGATGACTGGTTTTGTATAATAATCCCCATTCCAAGGAGCAGGGTCCCTGGCCACAGCTGGCTCTGTGTTTGGTCATGGGTGGTGGGGACAAACCCAGGTTTAGGCCACCAGAAATCAAGGCAGGACCCCTCAGATTTCAGTGAAATCTCAGAGTGCTCAACAAGGCAGGGAAAAAGCCCAACTCAAACACGGATCACCTTGGAATCATCACATCCTTGTTCCAGCTGGGCTTTTTTTCCAGCCCAAACCATTCTGAAATTTCATTTTCTATGAAAATATAATTTTTCGGGAGGTTTTAGCTTGAAGGACTTAACTAACTTCGGTAACAAATCTTTCCTAAAATGAATAAAAATGAATAACCCACCTGGGGTGCCCAGGCTTCGAGGAGCCTACTCCTAGTGCCACTACTCCATCAATCCCATTGCAGCAGAGGATTTGTTATTAGTTCCCATAAATGACTCTTTCTATATTCCCAGAATGGTTTCAAAGCCAGCAGAGATTGAATTAAGTCCCCTTATTTTATCTTGTCCTTAAGCTGTTGTGACAAGGCACTGAATCCTCCAGAGACCTTGTCAGGAATTAGGCTGTGTTCAAGTTCAAGGGTTTTAGAAGATGCCCGTCTATTAAAAATACAAATACAGCTGCTTAATCCATGGAGTCAATGGGAAATATGGATAATTTCTGTCAATTCACTAAATGATGTATTAACATCTTTTACTTTATACAGTCTTCAAGTTCAGCAACAAATCCCCAAACTGGTTTTTAGAAGAAACTGGGAGCAGATTTATGCAAATTTAGATAATTACACAGAAAAAGTCAGTTTTGATTCAGACTCCTCTCCTTTGAGGCTGTTTCTCATCAGGGACTGTAAATATTAGCAGGCTGAGCTAAGGGGCTAAATTACCTCTCCATAAGCAATGGTGTTGTTGTATCTCCTCATTTCTGGATAAACATGGTCCAGGTACCACTGGAAATTTTTACACTTCAGGCTCTTCCTCAAGGCTTTCCTCTCAGAAACATCCCCAATGTCAATCCCTGGATTCTGAAAAGTAACAACAGGACATCACTGAATGGTCACACTTCCAAAAAAAGGTACAATGAAAGTGTTTCCCTGAGCTTTGAGATCCTTTTCAAACTGCCTGGGGTGGTTGAGTAATTCCAGGAATTCTGGGATGTATGTTGGGGTGAAACCATCAGAAGGAAGATGTGGCTTCCAGAGGGGGACACCAACTGTTGGGTGTTCTCTGCTGGGTTTTGAGGCCCCCCCTTGCAATGGCCATGGGCTGATTCTGGACAGGCTTTGGTCCTCAGGGATAATTTACAAAAGGGGAACAAAAGGGAGAAGAAAAGGTTTGGAGGAAGGTTGGAAAATGCACAGAAACTGGGGAGTCTTCTCCTGGGTTTGGATCCATCTGACAAAGACCGATCTGTATTTTTAAACAAGGTACTTTTAAAAGATTTCTCCTCCTGTTTGGGTTCTGAGGCACAGGTTTAGCAGCAAGTGGATATCAGGACTTAAAAGATGGAAATGCAAACCCTGGCTGGGCACTGAGCACCAAACCCTTCCCTGACCCCACTGAGACACAACCCAGAGGAAGGGAGAGGTAAAAGGTGTAAAATAAACGGGAAAAGAATGAAGGAAAGAGAGAAAGGTTCAAGATTCAAATATAGCAGAGGCAGACAGCTGAGAATAAAGGATAAAAATTGCATGAGAAGAAAAGCTGAGGCTGAAGCTCAGCAAAAGCTCTTGGCAATTTGGGCAATTCCAGGGTGGAATAGTCTCCCTGGAGACACAGCAGAACCCCACAGCTCTGCAGACACAGCTGGCCCTGAGCAATAACCCAGCAGGAGCTGGGAGCAGGGCTGGAGAGCTGCCCCCTTTGTTCCACCCTGGGATCTGGGGGCTAATGCAGCAGGGAAGCCAAAGGCAGGCACACAGCAGCCCCTTCTCCCTGCACTGCTGGGCTCCCACTCTGGTCCAGCTCCTGCTCTTGTCTTTCCCAGAGATCATTAAACACAACTGGGAAAGCAATTTTCCATTACAATGCTTGTAATGATCTCCTAATGAATTATTCACTCTGCTTTAGAAGAGACACCGTTTCCATGTGCCCCTGGTAGCTGAGAGGTAAAAATAAAGATGATTCAGTGGAGAGAGGCAGGACAGGCTGAGATCTGAGTGGGTGAGGTGGGGCTCAGAGCAGGCAGGCAGCACCTGGGATGGGCAGGGCAGGGCTTTGCCTTGGCATCACAAAATAATCCAGTGCACAGCCATAAAACCTGCCTTCCCTCAAAGTAAATCTTAGTTTGATTGGGAAGAGACCAGTATAAAAATCTCCAATGGATTTTGGGGAACCCAGACCTATTGGGACGACCTATATAGAAATCTCAAGTTGATTTTGGGTCACCCAGGTCTGTTCCCACCCCCAGTGCTGATCCATGTGATGCTGCCTTTTCCAAGCTGCACAGGATGGATTTTAATCCTTTCTGCAATGCTCCCAATCTGTTCCTGAGCAGCAGGATGATGCCTCACCTCTAAAAAGGAATCAGCCCAAGGATCAGGAATTTTGATCATGAGCGTTCGGAAAGCAGCTTTCCTTTCCATCTCTATTCCTGTATTCCCCCACCCCCAGGAGCACAAACCTGCAGCTCCTGGCCCTTCCCAGGCTGTTCTCCAGTGCAGCACAAAGCTGTGGCTGCCGTGCCCAAATGCCAGCACTCCCCAGATGTAACCTTTGCTCAGCAAGCTGCAGCAGCAGCTTTGGTTTTTGTGCTTTCCTGTTTTCCCAAGGGCCTGCAGCAGACACCAGCTGGGGGTGCTCCCTCAGCAGCTCCAGGGCTCAGCAGCTCTTTAAGCCTTGGCCAAGCAGGAATATTTTGTGCTCATTTTTAGCACCCAGGTGGGGCTGGACACTTGTGGCACCAGTCTGACCTCCCAGGGAAACTGGGCAGCCCGCAGTGCTCGTTCAGCCATGACCCAGGGGCATCGCTGCCTCACCGTGCCCCCCTCCCTGCTCCTCCCTGGCAGTGCCAGTGCAGGAACGGGCACTGATCCTGCCAGGGCTGCTCCAGGCAGGAGATGCTCTTGGCTTCCAAGATCAGACACAACCTGCAGGGAGGCAGAGCCCCAGCAGCAGCCTTGGACCGGCAGAAATCCCTCCTGAAGCCTGTGAAGCCCTCCCAGAAGTGCAGGAGGTGTCCCTGGACATGCTCACCTGGTGGCACCTTGTGGTTTTCCAAAGATTCACCAAGCTGTGAGGTGGTAGGATTTACACCAAAATTAACGTGTCAGATCCAAGAGAACCTGACCATTTCTGGGCAGAAATCAAAGGAACCACCAAAGCTCTTAAAGGAGAAGGTTTAAGAGAAAGGGAATCCCTTCTGTGAGCCACCAACTTCCAATCCTTTACCTTTAAACTTTCCAGCACTGGGAAAACAAACAGTCCCAGCCCTTGGGGAGCTCTGGGAGGGATCTGTGTCCATGAGCTGGGAACCTGAGCTGGGCTGGAAGTGACATGAGAATAAACCTGAGGCACTAACAGTGCTGACTGCCATCAACAATCTGTCTGCAGAGCAGTGTCAGGACATCCCCTCACGCTGGGTAAACACTCAGGGGGGAGACAAACAGCACAGTCCAGGTTTAATTCTTAGAACCACACTAGAAAGCTGTGGGAAGAGCAGGAATCCCTCTTGGAGCCTCTCCCTCAAAGCCGAGGGGGATCCGCTGGGGCTGACAGCCGGGGGGTTAAGGCTGAGCTTAGGGACAGGAACTGCTCCAGAATTCAGGTTTTTAGCACCAAGTGCCTCCAGGGCAGGCTGTACCTCCAGGGGCAGGTTCCAGGCGATGTAGACGTGCCACTTGTAGTCGTCCATCCAGACCTCGGCCACGCGCAGCGCGTTGCGCTTGGTGTAGAAGCCGATGTTGTTGTTGTAGGGCTTCTTCTTGCGCTCGATGTGGGCCACCCTGGAGCAGGGCAGCACCTCCATGCTGCCCCCACACAGCCACACCTGCAACACAGCCACAGCTCCTCAGCACGGGCAGCACCCGGGGCATGGCAGAAGGGAGTTCTGAGCGCTCCGCGTTATCCCGTGATCCCCAGTCTCATCCTGGCAGCAGAGCCCACGGCCAGGGGTGGCCTCTGCCCAGCACTGACACACACAGGGGCATTTGTGGGGTTGGAACTGCAGGATCTTTATGTCCCTTCCAACCCAAACCACCCTTGGATTGAAGCCTCTTTTTAAGATCCCCAAATTCCCTCAGTCCTGGAGGCAGCTCCCCCCCTCCCAGCCCCTGGAGTGGTGCCTGTCAGAGCCAGAGCCCTCCTGCAGCTCCCTGGGAAAACAGCTTTCCTTTCCATCTCTATTCCTGTATTTCCTGTATTTCCAAGCCAAACCACCTGTGCCCAAAGCTTTAGAGGGATCAGGTCTCTTCCTCACCTGGTGAAGGATCCAGTGCTGTGTTTCCCCCCAAATAAAAACCATTAGTGACTGGGACAGTTCAAACAATTCCAAGATCCCCTCCTGCAGAAGGGATGAGTCAGTGAAACATATGGCAGGGACAGATTTCTCCCACTTAAAAATGTTTGTTCATTATTGTTCTTTCACGTGCTGCTTCAAATTCCCTTAAATCACAGTTTACAAGTTAATAAAATCTTGTAAGATCCTCTTTTGATCTCCCACACAGGGGATTTGCAGGAAGACTTGCCATACCTGCCTTCTTCCCTGCTTGTTTGTCACCAGCAAGAAGTTATTTACCTTCCAGACAGGACTCCAGGCCCTGGGCAATCACTCCAAACCCACATTCCAAGCAGGCTGCTCTGCAGGATCGTTCTGCACAATTATTGGAACACCCAGCATTTCTGGGATCCCTTCCAGTCTCACCACCTTTCCTCCCACCTGCGGGCCCTAATTTTCATGGAGCCTGCTGGATTCCCTCTTCCAGCAGCACCAGGAGTCCCCAGTCTGGAGCAGTGCCCCGTGTCACCTCCCAGGGGTGGCTTTGGCCCCTCCAGCGTGGGCACTTGCCCAGGTGACAGCAGAGGGGACACTTCCCTCAGGACACCCCTGCTCCTCACGCTGTTCCTTCCTGGACTGCTGCACAACAAAACACCTGAGCCCCTTGTGTCAGCTGCTGCACAAACGTGCAGAAAAATCCCATTGTACTCCTGCTCTGTCATTTGACCTTTCAGAACACTTCAAAGACAATTTCATGCCCCAGAGTGGATTCAGAGCCTGATCTCAGACAGGGACCTGCCTGTCCCTCCCTGGCCCTTCCCTCCTCCTCCCACCCCAGCCAGCTCAACAAGGTCCACTCAAGGTTTGTACAGGCCACAGGCAAAGCAAATCAGAGCTCAACCAGGCAACCTCACAAAAAAACCAGATATATTTTTAAAGGAATACTCCTAAGGCAGAAACTGCCCGTGTTTCTTGCCTGCTCAGTTCTTTAATTTCTCAGCATCTTGGTGAAATAGAGGAAGGAGCTCTGCCCTTAGGTGCTCCCAAGGCTGCTGGGCTCAACCACTACACTGAATAAATCTTCCAGTCCAGAGTGATCCCCAGCATCTCCTGGTTTTTTACTTTTGGGATTTGTTAGGTTTTGTCCTAATTTCAAATCAGAATAATTCTTTTGAAACTACTAAAATCATAATTAACGTGATTTTCCAGCAGCCCACCCCAAGTCACACCATTGCACTGCTACCCTTCTGAGCTTCAGTTAAATAATTCATGTCAGCTTCCTTCCATTTCAGGAATATCTGTACAAACCACCTGGAAATCCTCACATTGGCATAACCTGGGTGAGGCAGAGAGCTGGGCACTGAGCAAAGGGCACTGCCTGGGAGCACATCCACAGCTGGTCCAGAGACATCAATACAAACTTAATTCAGGAATTATCCAAGGAAAGACCATATATCTACCTCCTAAACAGAGCCTGAACTGTCATTATAAATTTTTAAAACACCTGTTTTTTAAAGTATTTATAAATGTTTCTGCTGGGAACAACAGGAGCACAGAGAGCTGTGCCCCAGGAATGGCCAAGTCACACTGGAAGCTCCGTCCCAGGATCAGGAGTTGTTTGTTCCGACGTGGCCCCACAAGGAATTTCTGCCCCTCCTGCACCCAAAATGCAGGGGAAGGGCTGCACAGGGAGCTGCAACCCAAGTGAATCCCCCATGGCTGTGGAGCTGTGCCTGCCCCACAAGCCCAGGGCAAGGTCTCAGCCCTTACCACAGCTCGAGGGCACGGAATTCCTCCCCCTGCTGCCCACAGGACACAGCCAGAAGAGCCCAGTGCATCCCAGCCTCCCCAGCATGAGGGCAGGCACCTGCCCTGATGTGGCAGCCCTGACTTCACCCCATGGCACCCACCCTGGAGGGCAGGAGGGTCCTTGGAACCTTTTGTGTCCCAGCTGAGCAGCCACTGATCACAGCAAAGCCCTTTAACACACAGCATCTTCCTGCTAAGGAATGCTACTGGATTTGTTAAAGATTCACATTGTAATATTGGCTTTTCACAAATGTTAAAATGGATTCTATATGTGTGATGTTAAAGTAACTTTATTATGAAGATATATTTTTTATTTCTGTTGTTAATTAAGCTTAGACATAGCAGTGCAATAGCTGATATCAGTGTGCTTGTATTAAACTGCCTGCTGGGAGGGGTTAAGATCCAATGAACACGGGATCAGGACACCTGTACGGATCTGCCAACCATCAGCACTCACTGGCTGAAGGCAGTGTGGGCCAGGGCCAAAGCTGAGGGTGATGATAAAAAAGGACTGAAACCACAACCGAGGAATGTGCACGCTCTAAAAGGTGAACCCAAGGAGAGGCCATGCTAAACAATTCTTGGAACATGGAAACTAGTTTGGAGGGAAGTTTACTATGCATAAGGGTCTATGAATATGCAACAGGCTGATGTAATTAGGCTAACAGGCTAATTTTAATGTAACTAAAAGGCATTTAAGGGGGATCCCCAAAGAGAACAGAGTGCTTTTGGTTGAGTGCCAAGATGCACCTGCCCATAATAACCTTTGTTCCGTGGTCCTTGCCTCCTGTTGTCCTTTATTAAACTTTTTACATTTTCACAGGAGAATGAACATGTTTTTCACAGATTTTTCATGGAATCCCAGAATCCCGGAATGGTTTAGGTAGGAAGGGACCTTAAAGCCCATCCAGTGCCACCCCTGCCATGGCAGGGACACCTCCCACTGTCCCAGGCTGCTCCCAGCCCCAGTGTCCAACCTGGCCTTGGGCACTGCCAGGGATCCAGGGGCAGCCACAGCTGCTCTGGGCACCCTGTGCCAGGGCCTGCCCACCCTGCCAGGGAACAATTCCTAATTCCCAATAGCCCATCCAGCCATGCCCTCTGGCAGTGGAAGCCATTCCCTGTGTCCTCCATCCCTTGGGAATTGTCCCTCTCACACAAAGCCATGCTCAGAGGCTCAGGGTACAGTAACTCAGCAGGTTAAATATGATGAGCAAGGCTCCAGTTTTCCCTGTTGTCTGACATTCGCATTCCCACACAGCAATTAAATTGCCACTCATTCACCCATGAAGTGATACAGAGCTAAAAATAGACCCAGTCCCCTCAGAAAATGAGGGTGAGTGAAAAACATCTCCATCAATCCACACACAGGAGGAATCAAACCCATGGGAAATGCTGGGATTTGTAAAGAACCAGTTAACACCAAACTAGTGAAGGAATCCCAGAGAAACAAAAAAACCAAATCCATCACCCAGAGATCTTTGATGTGTTTTGCAGAAAGCTGCTGGGGAATACACTTGTAATTCTTTTCCAAGGAAAATGTGACAGTCCTAAGGATTCAGTATGGAAAAGCAGTGACTTCTCCTGGGGAAGGAAATGTCCAAGCACAGCTGACACTGTGCTGCTAAATCTGCTTCCCAGGAGCTTTGGCACCTGAGAGAAGGAGCCTCAGGGGGACTTTCTTGTTTTGTACCTGAGAGGCTCCTGCTTTCCTTAGCAGATACCTTCTGTTCAAACCCAGACAAGCTGTGAGACAGGTGGGGGTTGGTCTCTTCTCCCAGCTGACAAGAGATAGGACAAGAAGGAAAGGCTTCATCTTGTGCCAGGGGAGGCTGAGGGTGGGCATTGGGAATATTCCTACCCTGAAAGGGTTGTCAGAACAGGTGGCCAGGGCCATGGTGGTATCACCATCCCTGAAGTCAGTGCCCTTGAAAATGTTCAAAACCCACGTGGATGTGGCACCTGGGGACAGGCCCAGGGGTGGCCTTGGCAGTGCTGGGGCATGGTTGGACTCAGAGGCCTTCTCCAGATTCCTGTTTCCCTGTGGGAGGCAAACCTTGGTTACCACGAGGTGTCCTTGAGACCTGCTGTGCTCCGGGAATGGGATGAGCCAGTTTTGGTTCCCTGTCACCCTCTGGCAGCACAGGCAGAGCTGCTGTGGCTGCGAGAGTTCGTGACACAGCAGGGAGCTCAGCCTGCCGGGGCAGCCCAGCTGGAGGGGCTCAGCAGTGGTGCCGTGGGGTGGCAGAGCCCACGCGGCTCCCCGGGCACGGCGAGCTCCAGCAGCACCGGCAGCTCCTGTGCCAGCTGCCAGGCCTCAGCTGCAAGTGGAAAATTGCTTTTCCAGCGTTCTGTCAGAGCTGGGGGTGCTCACCTAGAGAAGAGATGGCTCTGCAGAGACTTTGAAGCTGCTCCCAGTGCCTGAAGAGGCTCCAGGAGAGCTGGAGAGGGACTGGGGACAAGGGATGGAGGGACAGGACACAGGGAATGGCTCCCACTGCCAGAGGGCAGGGATGGATGGGATATGGGGCAGGAATTCCTGGCTGTGAGGGGGGGGAGGCCCAGAAAATATTGGGGACAGTGACGACTCTGGGTCCTGGCTATGGTGTCCTGGTTGGAGCATGGTGTGACATCCATGAGGAGCACTGCAGCTCCCATGAAACCCTGCCTTTATTTGCTCAGAGCTTGGCCAAATTTTAACTATTCAGACTGAAATCCAGTCTGGACCAGCTCGAGCTCTGCAG